TGATTATAATGTTATTAATTAGTTTGTTGTTGAGGAATGTGAGATATCAATTCAAGTACCTAATATTACCCAATATGATGAGGTTGTAGTACCTGATCATGAGGCTGCTATTGACTGTAGCTCAACTAATGGTAAGGATAGTGATGAACTTGATTCTAATTCTGAAGAATTAGATACTATTGCAACTTAAAGAAATATGAGCATTACTGATCAACTCCTTGATTATAAGGAACTAGACAAGAGTATGACCTTCAAGGACATCGCTGAAGCTAGGAAGTGTTTGAAACTGTATGCTATGAAAAATAAGAAAGAGATAGTTCTTAAAAAAGTAATACAACAAGGCTTAGGTATGAGTGTCAAATTGACTGCACATTTGTTCGCTCAATCTCTAAAGATGGGGACCGCCCATGGGTAAGAATCAAGACCTTAAAACCACATCATGAATGCTATATTGCTTATGATAATAGTAGTGTTGACTACTGTACTATTGTACATTATTTTAAGAAGAAGTTAAATAGTCCAAAATATAAAGTGAAAGAGATGAGGGTTGACCTGAAAGATGCATTTTAGCTGAATGTAGGTCATGAAAAATGCAAGAGGGCAAAAGCATTGATTCTGAATAAGCTTCAAGGAAGCTTTAAAGATGAGTATAATAGGCTAGAGGCATATGCCAATGAGTTGAAGATCAGTAATCTTGGAAGTGATATAGCTATGAACTTGTCAAAATATGTACTTGCTGAAGGTAGGAGGAGATTTTTAAGAACTTATATTTGTTTCAATGCATTAAAGATGAGTTTTAAGGCCTTTTATTGAATTGGATGGGACATTCCTGAAGAGAAAAGCTAAAGGACAACTTCTAGTTGTTGTTGTCAAGACTCAATGAACCATTTTTATCCTATAGCATGGGCTGTAGTAGACAAAGAAACAAAGAGGAGTTGGACTGATTTTTGAGATTGCTAAAAGGATCATTGGACCTACAGAATGGAGAATGATAGACTTTCATCTCAGACATGCAAAAGGTACTTTTCTGTTGGTTCTTTTTATACTTTTTAAAGTTTATTTTTTCTGTTTCTTATAGTTTAGTTCATTTATATTTTGTGAAGTTTGTTCTTTTTATGTTTTTTATTAGTTTAGTACTTTTATATTTTTTAAAGTATTACTCTTTTCTATTTTTATAGGTTTAGTTCTGCATATTTTATTTCTTATGTTACTTTTCTAGTTGCTTATGACTTGTTGCGTCTGATTGAGGCAATGAGAATAACATTTCCTGAAGCTAACCATAGATTTTGTGTTAAACACATTGAGGCTAATTGGTATAAGAGATGAAGATCTGGGGAGATGAAGAAGCTTCTATAGAGGTGTGCATGGAGCACTTATGAGGAGGATTTCAAGACCAATTGAAGAATATGAGAGATATGGAAGAAGATGTTGCGAGAGATTTGCTACATTATCCTGCCCAGTGATGGTGTAGAGCTTATTTTGACACTCTGTGCAAGAACATGGCAGTAAAAAATAATTTCACAGAGTCATTCAATGCATATGTCTTGGATGTAAGGTACAAACCAATAGTTAAGATGCTAGAGGATTTTAGAGTTAAGGTTATGACCTTTTTGAGAGAACATGAAGATCAACTAAAGTCATGGACTCGTGACTTCAGTCCACAAAGTATGAAATTGTATGCTGATTCTTTTAAGATTGCTCCCACATGTGTGATTCACTTTAGTGTAGATGCTGGCTATGAGATTAAAGAAGGAGCAGATAAACATACTGTCAAAATAGAATTGAAACAATGCAGTTGCAGGGCATGACAACTCTTAGGAATACCATGTCCTCATATAATTAGAGCAGTGATATACAAGAGGAATGACCCTCTGGAATAAATACATTAGTGGTATAGCAAAGAAGCTGCTCTAAAGACTTATTCACATAAGTTGCAGCCTGTTAGGGGTGAGAAATTCTGAAAAATAGGCCAATCACATGCAATGGAACCACCGCATATGATGAAGTTAGCTGACAGGACTAAGGTGAAGAGAAATAGGCAAAAAGATGAGGCAAGGTGAATGTCTCCTTTAAGGAAAGGGAGAACCATGAACTGCAATAACTGTGGAGAACCAAATCATAATGCAAGGGGGTGTACAAGTTGATTGCTACTCTTATTAGTATTTAACAATAGATTTTCTATTATCTAACAATTTTTTATTTATTTATGATAGCCATTTAATTCTCAATCTAAGGGAAAGCATACAATGAAAAGGAAAAGAACTATGGATTATGAAAACATTGATGAAGAAATACCATTATTAGGACCCCAACAATCTCAAAATAGTCAAGCCTCCATCAGTATACTTGTGTTCATTCCTTCCCCAACTATTTTTGATAACATTTCAAATTTCCAAGATGTTACTAGTAGGAAACCTTTACCAGACTTTGAGTTTCCAGAATTTGCAGATGAAGAAGACCATAGTATAAGGCCAAAAGTTATTTTTGAGACAATGACAAGACTTCAGAAGAGATAAGAACCAAGTCTTCCATTTGGGACAATAGTAGAGGGACATATATAAACCTTTTCCAGTTTTCTTCCTCACTTTTAATCAACTTGTCCCTTAGGAGACATACGGTAAAAAAAAATACTGAATTTTACCTTGATATACAACATTGAAAATCCAATTATTATTATTAGGAATATTTGCACGTAATTTATCTAATATAATAAGATTTTTAATACATAGCAACTAAAGAGATTTTAGCCTCCATTCTTCTCCAATTTTCCTTTTACCTCTTTCTCAAGCCTCTCTTCCCAATTTGAATTTTAATTTTTTTAATCCAAAATTCCCACAGCCACAATTATGAAGTAGAATTAATTTCTTTTATGAATGTGATTTCTAATAGGAAAAATGTTCGAATTTATCCCTCTACTATTGTATATTGTTTATATTTGTCCCACATTATACTTTTCATCTATTTTTGCCCCTACCGTTAACAAACTCTTCAGATTTGCCTATAACCCTAACGAACCTACATTGTCACAGACAACACTTTCAATTTTTGTCCACGTCAGATGACAATCAGATTAAAAAAAATAAAGATAAAAAACTGCCAAGCTAGATGGCCCCTAGTGAGGGAACGAAATAAAAGAGAGGAAGAAAGAGGTGGCAGAGTCTTCGCCGGAATCTGGCCGAAGTCGGGTCGAAAACCTTCTCCAACATCGTTTTTTCTTCTATTCCATCATTTTTCATGTGAAATACTCTCCCCAAGAACAAAAAAAAAAGGAAGAATAAGGAGCTCTGCAGTATCCAACCACCGGAATCCGACAAATCCACCAGAGCAACTCCACATGATCCCATCCTAATTTTTTGAGTTGTATTTTTCTCATTCTTTTTCTTTTTCAGTTTATAGGTATACTTCGCCGATAAACCTCCAAGATCTAAACTTTTTGTGGTAAAATTAAACCATGTTTCATGGATCTAAACTTACTACTGGGTTTCGCTAGGAGATAGGGAAGCCTCTGGTTTGGACTTTATATATAGGGGGAAAGGCCATAATTGCCCCTATACTATTGTAAATAATACACGCTTGTCCTCCGTTTTACTTTACGTCCAAAAATCACCCTACCGTTAACAAAGTTGATGTAATTGACCCTAACCCTAACGAACGGTCAATGCGGCAGTTGACCCACTCTATTTTTTCCACGTCAATTGCTAAGTCAGCTTTCCATTAAGTTGAAAGCCCCAATTCGACTCCCAAATTAGATTGACCCAATTTCACTCCCAAAATTTTTACCCATAACCGTCTTCTTCTTCTTCTACCCCAAAAGACACTCCATTGCTGAGAACTTAGGGTTCGACTGAAATCTTCCCAAAATTTCTTTTTTCTTCATTCTCGACGTATCTTTAGTTGATAAATGTCGCAAGGTAGCTGTTCATCATAGATTAGGTGTCGTTGTGGCATTATAGCCAACCACTTCACTTTGTCTACTCCACATAACTCCGGAAGAAAATTCTACAAATGTCCAAGGCCTAAGGTTGTTTAATTTCAGTTTTCTCTTCTTCTTTTTTTAAGTTTACTGTAATTATGAAATCTACAAGTTTAGAGTTTTGTAATGATTAGCTAAATGATCTTTTTAAATTATTTTTGACAGCCTATTTCATGTGGGTTTTGGGAATGGAAAGATAAAATATTTCCGCAAAGTGATTGGACTAATATTAAAGATGTAACATCGTCGATGGATGAGGTTAAAATGAAAAGGGACAAATTGAAGGAATAAGTAATTGCCATGAAGGCTATACACCAATATGAAGTGAATAAAGTCATCAAGTTGGAAGATAAACTTGCAAAGACAATGATGTTACTTATGATTTCTTGGGGACTGTTTCTTGGTTTTTTTGCAGCCTCGATGATAAAGTGACTTTTTTGCAAAGACAAGATTGCTGAATTTGAGTTATATATGTGTAGCTGACTTTTAGGTCAATTAAGTCATGTTGTAGTAGTATTTGTTGCTATAGTAGTATTTGTTGCTTTTCAGCCATGTTCAACAGATTTTTTTTGTTGCTTTCCCTTACTAGTATATGTTCTTCATATTTGATTGTTCTAAATGGCATGTTGAATAACTAAGTCATTTAATTCCTTTCAATTCAATTCATTTGACATAAAAGACAGCAGCAAGTGTAAAAATAAAAAACTTACCTTCCAGTCGTAAAAATGGATAACTGGAAACTGAAATTGAAAAGGTTTTAAAATGGACAACAATGAACTGAACATTCATTACCAAATATTCACCTTGATTCATAATGTACCAACTATCAACATTCATAAAGTGCGTTTAATAAGACAACTTGATACCATATTATAACCCCAAAAAGATGTCAACACCTAGTTATAACATGACAACCAACTGTCACAACCAAAGAACCACAACCAAAATATAAAGTTTACTGTCATGGCAGTAATTACAACACTTCCAAAAATTTACATCATAAAAGTTCACTAGAAGCAAATTTCCATCACTTCTGCTCCTTACCACTATCCTTTATTGCTTGCAACTTGGTCAACCTTTGTTTGTTCAACTGATTTCCAGTGATGGCAGAATTTCCCAACCATGTTATGCCTTTTGCTGAGAAAGTAAGCTTTGATGGATGACTTACACCGCTTGAATCACCAACAAATCCAATTTGTCTGGTTGCAACTGGTACACTTTGCTGCCTTAGCTGGAGTCTTGTCCTTGCTTCTGAGATACTCTTTGGTCTTATAGCTATGTCAGGCTCAGGTTCAAAGTTAGGGATCTCAAAATCTGGACATTCATTGCTAGTTGGAAGCCGCCTTTTAACTGAAGGGGTTGGCATAAACACAAAGTTGCTGGATTCACTAGCTTGACTGTTTTGACTTGGTTAGGGTGGTGATAAATGGAAGTCATCTTCAGTTGGAATATCTGCAACAGTTGTGGATATAGGTTGTTCATCATCAGGTTCATCAACCAAAGTTCTTTGTTTTTGTTTCTGCTTTCCCCTTGTTTTGCCACCCATTGGTTGTTTTCCTTTAGAGTGTTATTATCAACATACACAATTATATGTTAGAACAAGGCAGAATAAAATAGAAGCATAAATTTATTGTTCAAGAGATAGATTACCTTGGCATATCCCCTAGCATTATGTCCAAGTTCTCCACAGTTATTACATGTCATTACTCTCCCTTTCCTGGATTGAGACCATTGCCCTTGCCTAATAAGGGACTCATTTGTCTCGTTCTTTTTTACTTTTGTCCTGCCAGCCATTCTTACAAACTCAGGTCGTTCCATATTCTACGTGGAGTCTATCTTCCAGAACTTTTCTCCTCTTACAGGTTGTAACTTATGAGAATAAGTTTGGAGATATGCCCCTTTGGAAAGGTACCAGTGTATCTCACTTAAAGGGTCAACCTTCTTGTACAGTAGGGCACAAATTTCATGAGGACATGGGATTCCACAAAGGTTCCATGTCCTACAAATGTATTTTTTTGCCCCCAGGTTCACAATGTGCCTATCATTACCTTCTGTCTCTTCATAACCTTGGTCATCACTGCCATTCACATGACACTTTTGTGCAATCCTCATGAATTGGTTATACAAATTTAGAGTCTTGGGACTGTATTCACTTCCCCACCCCACCACTTCAGCTTCATTATCAGTCAACATATTCATAATCTTGATTCTGATCTCCTCTAACATCTTTATAATTGGCTTGTATCCGGCTTGCAATATCCATGCATTGAAGGACTCAGTCAGGTTATTATCCACTGACTGGTTCTTGCAGGTAGTATCAAAGAATGCCCTACTCCAGCAAGTAAGTGGATACTTTAACAGATTTTCAACATCAGTCTTACCATCATCGTCCACTTGGCTCATACTCTTTAACTGATCTTGGAAGTCCTCTTCATAGGTACTCCAAGCTACCCACCAAAGATATTTCTTGTATTCGCCAGACCCCCATCTCTTGCACCAGTTTGCTTCTATGTGTCTTACACAGAATCTGTGGTGGGCCTCAGGAAGAACTTCTGAGATTGAATCAATCAGCCCCTGCATATAAAGGAAAGAAGAATTAAAATCTATATATACAGATTGGTAAAATAATAAAATAATAAAGATAAGTGTTCATACCTTCTGCATATCCGAGATAAAAGTGATTCCTTCACCCATCTTAATGTCCTATGACATTTGTAGATGACTTAAAAACTAGTTCCATGTGACTTTTGTTTCTTTATCCACAATAGCCCGAGCTAATAGATAAAAATGGTTTGCAGAGTCTTGACCAACTGCCACCAAAAGCTGACCCTTAACTTTCCCTTTCAAAAAAGTTCCATCCAACACTATAAAGGGCCTCAACCCACTCTTAAACCTCATCTTCATTGCATGAAAACATATGTACATCTTTAGGAACCTTCTCTTGCCTTCAGCAAGAGCATCCTTTGACACACTAAAATCACTTAAGGTAAAATCACTAAAATCACTTAAGGTTTCTTGACCCACTCTCCACCATGATGAAAGACCAAATCCAGCAGGACCATTGTCAGTAAACTGCAGAATAAAGAATATACATATTTAAGACACACTAAAATCACTTAAGGTAAAAAATATAGAAACAGTATAAAATTCACACTAAAACCAGACAACATAAACAAACAAAGACTAATGGAAGGCAGAGCAAAATAGAATAATAGAAGGTATAGAGATAAAGGCAGAATAAAATAGAAGGTACCACATATTGAAGAAGTCAGTCAACTTCAATAAACTAATAGATGCAGCCATGGATGTGAGGGACCATACATTAAAGTATTAAAGTAACAAATAAAGTGTCCCCTGCCCCACCGTCCAATAAACAACGCAGAAAAGAACAAATAAAAGCCAATATAAAAAATCTGATTCACTTATTTTCTAAAAAAAAAAATCAAAGGAAGTTGGGACCACAAAATATTAAAATTGAAACCCTAAACCACCAAAGGACTTTTCAATACCAAGAAAGTATAAACCAGATATGAGGCACATGCAAACAAAAAGAACAAAATTACGGTTTAATAATGAAAAAATACATGCAATTGAATACAAACGCAAAACACACACCTACCAGCTTGAAATTATCGACAAAGAAAGGGAGAAGTGAAAACCCTAACCAACCAAGAACAATTCTGAAAACCCTAACTCCAAGAAACAACAAATTCGAAACCCTATGACAACTACACTTCGGTTACACACACCTATCAGCTTGAAATAATCGATAAAGAAAGGAGGAATTGAAAGCCCTAACCAACCAACAACAAATCTAAAAGGGATTTGAAACCCCAGTAAAACTTCACTTCACTTACGTACAAGAAAGAGATAAAACTAACAGAAACATCAAATTTTTTGGAATAACTTCTTACCTTTGCTTGAAATCGGCACTGGACGCAAGGATTCTATAGACAGGTTTGGTTCTCTCGTTTTCTTTTAAGTACTAGAAGGTTCGACCAAACGAAGGCCTCTACTCGTTTTACACGGGTTATTTCTATTTATTTAGTGGGCAAACAGTTATGGGTTACGGGTCAAAATTTTGGGAGTGAAATTGGGTCAATCTAATTTGGGAGTCGAATTGGGGCTTTCAACTTAATGGAAAGCTGACTTGGCAGTTGACGTGAAAAAAATGGAGTGAGTCAGCTGCCACATTGACCATCTGTTAGGGTTAGGGGCAATTACATCAACTTTGTTAACGGTAGGGTGGTTGTTGGACGTAAAATAAAACGGAGAATAAACGTGTACTATTTACAATAGTACGTGGCAATAATGACCTTTTTCCCTTATATATAAATCTCCAAGAAACTCCTTTGGATGTGTACTTAGTTTCAGCGACGAATCAGATGATGAAAAAGCTAATAAGTGAGAATCAGGATGCTGCATTACGGGTTTATCGATGACATTGACTTTCTCCATTCTTATTTTCCCCTTGATTAACAAAGTTCTTCAATGCTATTGGCAACTCAAGCAATATTTCTCCTAAAATCTTTTAAGAAATTCGTAGCACCTTCATTGGAATCCTAATAACTAGTTGTTTCATGTTTGCTAGTAAATTACGAACATAGAAGTGACATTTCTGCAAATAAAAAGCTAAAAATTGACAGTCAAGAAATATTTAAATATGAAAGAAAAGTTGCACAATTTTAACATGAGGATTAAAAGAAATCAAAATGCAAAGACAAAAAAAATGATTTTAGGGTAGATAGAAAGAGGATTAAAAAAAAAAAAAAAACTGTTTTTGGGATTTCATTTTTTTCGGTTAAATTTTGAAGGGCTGACTTGGCAGCTAACATGGACAAAAATTGGAGGGCTCAGCTGTCACAATATAGGTCCGTTAGGATTAGGGGAAAATCTGAAGAGTTTGTTATCGGTAGGGGCGAAAGTAGACGAAAAGTATAACAATGGACAAATATAAATAATATACAATAGCAGTGGGATAGATTCGAACATTTTTCCTGTCTAATAACTGAACCTCAACGTCATTAAAGATCAAGGAATAGGCTTAAATATCTATTTTCACACTCTAAAATGTCAAATAAAACTATAAACTAAAAAGACATATCAAACCACAAACACATTCTTTAGAGTTAATAAAATTAAGAGAAAGAAAAATATTAACCTTGTTTGGAGCAACAAATTGGGTTGGTCGATTTCAGATATTATTACCTTCTCATGAATAAATCAATTGAAATTGAATTTTGGTGATGGATATGGTGTTTTTTCTGATGGTAGTTCTATGATAAATTAGTTGTATGTCGATTGTATATTGTTTGTATATTCAATGTATCACTGAATATATAATTACATACGCAGGGATACATACAAAACACATACATCAACATAGTGACATAATTATATATTTTGTGTATGTCATTTATATGTTTTTACCGGATGTATAACAACAATGAATATTTTGTGTATATCAAATCATATATATATGTATATATATATGAGTCCCAAAAAGAAACTTCTAATCAAATTCTTTGCTTGTCCAAATATCTTTTGTTTATTTTTTCTTTCGGAAAAGGGTCAAAAATATCCCTCTACTATTAAATAATATTTAAAGAACCCTTCATTATACTAATCGATTAAAAATACCCCTACCGTCTTACTGTTGAACAAAATATCCAAGTTAAGGAAGAGGCCACGTGACAACCATTTAAGACGTTTGGTTTGTCCGGGCTTTTTTAAACCGACCCGACCCAAAACCCTCTCAAATTCGAACATGATTGTTGATGCTTGGTACCTTATCCGGATTGATGCACGCCTGCAACGAGTCAATCTCGACAGCGTTTTGATCTCCATTTTGAGATTGGACAATGCATAAGCATCTTCCGTTTTTCTTTTGACACCAATTTGATAGTAGATAGGTATTTTTGACCAATTTTCGTTTTTCTTTTGACACCAATTTATTCTAGGAAAAAATTTTAAATTTTCTATTAAATTATGTTAAATTTTTTTAAATTATATTCTTCAAGTTTACTCAAACATCTCATGTAAATATTTATTACCTACTGAAGTTTCTATCGATTAATTTTAGAAAACAGGATCAAATTTATTCTTATACTATTCGAAATTGAATAATTTTGTCCTCGTTAAATATTTGCTCTATTATTAACCTCTGTATTAGGAAAAGTTAAATGTTTGCTCTACTATTAACCTTTGTATTAAAAAGTCTCATTCTTTCTTATGATCTATAACGATATTCTTATTTGAATTTTTTAAAATTATAGTCAAAATTTAAAAGATAAATTTGGATATTTTTTCGGATTAATTTGGGCAAGTGAAGTCCATCATATTACACTAGGCTTCCTTCATAGCAAGGTCAAATACAAGGCAATTTACTAATAATAAGGATTTGAACGAATTTAATGAGGTGCAACATTGAGCAATATGGACGGGGCAAAATTACTCAAACCCATTTTTTTCTTTAATGCTTGTTTAAATTGAACTCTATCCTCTAATGATAAATTTCGGGTCGTCTTTTTCATTTCTGATTATTCTATAATTTCTAGAAGCACAAATTTTGCTATTTTTAGGAGCAAAAATTCTTTCACAAAATAATTTGAAGAAGGCTTTTTGTAGCTACTTAACAAAACGGGACAAATAATTTCAAAAGTCTTTCATCGTTTTTTGAAACAAACTCCAGCGTTTCATTTATTTACGAGGAATTTTCGGAAACTACTATTGTTTGGTTGCTATTAACTTCATATAGCTATCATATAAATAATTACTTTCTATAACTATTATTAAGTTGTTACGATAGTGTATTCGTTGTATTCACGCTGTTGTATTCATGAATACAGCAATAAAAAACGCCTAAAAATCAGGGCAGTCCAGCTGTACGCGCATGTATTCGCGCCATATATTCATAAATACAGTAATGACAATCACCTTAAAAATAGGTCTGTCCAGCTGTCTAATAACGGAAATAATATCAATTAGCGTGATACACTCCTAATATAACTCAATAAAATTAATTCTAACATGCCTCATTATCAACCCAATTAATTAGAATGATTTTCAGTTGTATTTAACTTTTGTATTTAATGTGTTTTGGTATTTTTTTTTTTACTGTTGCATTCATTAGATTCAATGTTTGTATTTATGGTATTCGCTATTTTATATTTAGTGTATTCAAATGTATTTGTATTAATAGTATTTTAGTTATTCCTAATTCATGTTATTACAATTGTATTCAGTATATTTCATTGGTTGTATTCACTGTATTTCTATTTGTATTCAGTGTATTTCAATATTTATATCCTGTATTCATGCATACTGTTATGAGAAATGTTCAGAAACCACTATTGTTTGGTGGCTATTAACTTCATATAGCTATCATATACATAATTACTTCCTATAGTTACTATTCAGTTGTTACGGTAGTGTATTCGTTGTATTCGCGCTACTGTATTCATGAATACAACAGCAAAAAAAATGCCTAAAAATAAGGGCAGTCCAGCTATACGCGCATGTATTCATATGTATTCACGCAATGTATTCATGAATTCAATAATGACAATCACCTTAAAAATAGGTCTGTCCAGCTGTCTAATAACGGAAATAATATCAATTAGCGTGATACACTCCTAATATAACTCAACAAAATTAATTCTAACATGCCTCATTATCAACCTAATTAATTAAAATGATTTTCAGTCGTATATAACTGTTGTATTTAACTTTTGTATTTAATGTGTTTCGGTATTTTTTTTTACTGTTGCATTCATTAGATTCAATGTTTGTATTTACTGTATTCGTTGTTTTATATTCAGTGTATTCAAATGTATTTGTATTAATAATATTTTAGTTATTCCTAATTCATGTTATTATTGTTGTATTCAGTATATTTCATTGGTTGTATTCACTTATTTTTATTTGTATTCAGTGTATGTCAATATTTATATCTTGTATTCATGCATACTGTATCTACAGAATGCTTGAATACAAGTGTATTCAGTTGTATTAAAAAAATACAGATCTTCGAAATACATAAATACATGCAAAAAAATATATTTATACAAAAATACAATGTGTTTGAGTGAATTTGTACATAATACAATATATTTGTATCTTTGTATGTGACTAAATAACAAAGAAGAGAAGAAAGTTCGTCGAAGATGGCGTTTTCCGAATCATCTATTCACAAACAGAAACAATTAGAAGATAAAAATACTCCAATGCATATTACGCTATCCTCCAAGCCAATGTATCAGGCACATCCGACTCCCACGAGTCCACCCCATTGTTCACAACGAATTCTAACTCAAAATCATGAACATTATCGAACAATCCATTTGTTCCCATCACGATTATATCTCCTACTTTCACTAGAAAACTAATCTTATCTGCAACACTAGGATCATTAGAAATTTTGCTATTCTCCAACTGAAAAGGACAGTTGAACATTGATTGCTTGATTTAACAGCGAGCGACCGTTGTCTTCCTTCTCATCCACACCTCCAAATATTCAATTGCAATAACTCTAGATGATTCAGTCTATTTTGCTCGAAGAGAGAGAAAAAGAAAAAATATGAGATACAATCGTGTGTTAATTGAAATACAGAGATATTAAAAATATAAATAGCGTATTTCATGATTCAATGATAGTATATATCATAAATAACTATTTTGTTATAAAATATAAAAAGTAGTTATAAAAAATAATATTTTAAAATAATTTTGGTTTAAAATAAAGTGAGGGTATACTTTGGTACAGTGAGGTAAAATTTCCTTTATTATTTATCAGGGGCCATCATATGATCCAAATTGAATTGTGAAGTGGTATGCCTCGATACAAAGACGAGCCTCCTGCAGTCCGCGTTTACACAATCTGTGATGAATCCAAGTTCGTTAACCCACTCTCTTATCTCTCTGTCTTCTAGATTATATTAACATCGTGAATTCAAATTTATTTAATCCTTTCGTGATGTGAGTTTGCTGGAATTTTGTGCAGATATTTGATTGTGAGGAATGTTCCAGCGTTGGGCTGTGGCGATCAGCTCTCTAAACTATTCTCCACTTACGGAGAAATTGAAGAGTACGGCTTTTCTCTCAACTAATTGGAGATTTATTCGTAAATTTAAAACCTTTTGGTTTGTTTTCACTTTTGAAACAATTGGGTGTGCAATGGACTTAGTACATTAATTATCTGATATAGATAATTTATATTTGCCTTTTGTTTCCAAACGAGCGTGTCATGTGAAAGTTAACAAAAATGTTAGCTTAGCTAGTTCCACCTAAAAGTTAGATCAATTTTGCTATATTCAAGTCTCTAGGGTGTAGTTCAAGTGGCAAAGGTTCCGGGACTTGTGACTTAGATCACAGGTTCGAGCTATGTGCTATACGAACTAAACATGGTGTTTAAGTGGATTAATAGGAGAGGGGGTGGCTCATTATCTCCGAGTTTCGAAGGCCGCGGCTGGTTCCAGACGGATTTTTTGGTCATCCACAAAAAAATGCTATATTCGACAATTAAAGGTTAAAAAGGAAAGGTCAAAGAAGAAAGAGATGAAAAGTACACACAAAGGTAATAGAGAACCAATACTGCATCTTGCTCTTTATGGAGTATCTATTTTGTGGTTTCATTGGGGAGAGGGGGGATGCTGGAGAGGATATCCATATATCTGCTTGTTGAAACTATGTATTCGTGCATCGTGTATGTTTGTCCTTTTGCTTTAAGAATATAATTAGAATGGTGACTGTACTCACTTATGCGAGATTTGAAGATAAAGTTTGATGATCTTAGGGTATTGTCAATACTGTCTTTTAGTGTATTACCTTCATCTTTATCGTTCTCTTGGTTCTTAGATGTAAACCAATGGATGCTGAAGATTGCGAGCAGTTTACAGATGTTTTCTGGATCAAGTTTTACCGGGTTGACAATGCCAGGTTATTTCAATGCTCAGATCATCACCATTACATCTAGAGATGTAAATGGATATTGGTATTTTCTTTATAAGTACTGTGAAAGATTTCATTAAACTGCTACGAGAAAGTGCAGGAAATATGTACTGCAAGAGGATCCCAATTCCCTTGTATTCCTTCTGGTTAAAAAAGAGTGACACTATTTCGTTATTAGTCTGTTCCAAAAAGAATGACACTTTTCTAAATTTGAAAACAATTTAACATGAACTCTGCATTTTACGCTTAATGACAAGCTCCACACAAATGTTATGGCATGTTTAATACCACACGTTTCAAAAGTTTTATAGCCACACAAATGTTATGTCCTATTAAGACCACAAGTTTCAAAAGTCTTCGTTTCTTTCTTATACTCTGCACCCAATCAAACTATGCGTAAATAGAATGTTGAGGGAACTAGTCCTATATAGCATGTGTTTTCTCGTTGATAGTTTCCATGCAATTTTCATATATGTGAACATTTGTGTTTATATTGCATCATAAGTTATACTTACATATTCGCTACTCCAGGTTTGCCAAAAGGAAACTGGATGAGTCTGTTTTCCTCGGGAACAGGCTACACGTCTCTTATGCACCTCAATTTGAGAGTCTGTTTGAGACGAAGGATAAGTTAGAAGCTAGGAGGAAGGAAGTTTTAGCACGATTAAATCGTAAGTACCTTCTCACAAGTTAGCAATTAATTTGTCTAATGAGTTTACCTTTATTTTGTAGACCTTAGTTTCTTATTCTGGGATCAATGTCCTTTCAGCTGGAAGATCTAAAGGATCTGCCACATATAGCGCAGATGTGATTAGTGAGCCCTCTCCAGCTCAGTTGAATTCTATTGTACACTCAGTTGGCTCTAATCAAAGGTAGTTTAATAGAGATGCTCTGAATTGAGTTTTGAGTTTTGTATCAAGATAGAATAAAATCATTTTTATTGTAGGCAGAGCTCCAATTCGCGGTGTAACTCTGCTCATGACGTACAGTGTTCTCCTGCGACAACAATTTCATCAGACAAGGTTGGTCATAGAATTGCATTGTGATGCATTTATACCTCGTATGATTTCGACTTTTGGCAAATGCTTTTAACATGGTTATCAAGTTCCATAGTCAAGTTATGAAGAAGGGAGGTGGTTGCCAGATAATCATTTTTGTGCATTTTAGAGTGCGTGAAGGCTATAAATGTGTATGTAAATTTCACGTAGATCCCCTTAGGTTTTGAGAAGTAGGAGAGTTAGCACCCATTAATACGCTTGTAATTGGTTGATTAACAAAAAAGCGAGAAGAATGTTGTAGGGGAGAAAAATCGACAGAAAATCTTTTGTGATTGTTGTGGTCTTGGCAATATGGCAGCTGTAGACATGTTTCCAGGGGCAGATTTTCGTGGTATAGATTGCAGTGACTTCGAATAAACAGAAAGATTACTGTGGATATCTTGTTTAATTGCTTGATGGAGAATTATCAAGCAATAGAGTCATTAGCTAGTGCTACGATGGCAAAAATTAGGAATTTACATTGGTTAATTAGCAACTTACATTGGTTGATCTGAACACATTCCCTTTTTTTTTTGGATGAAGTACTTGGCTTCATTGATGGCATCAAATGATCTGAATGTACTCCCTCGAGTTAAACCTTGGGCTGATAGAGTTGGTATCAAGGAGAGGGCTGAGGATTATTTAGATTGGGTATCATGTGGGTGCGCCTTTTTGGGGTAAGCCTGTCTAGCTAGATGGGGCGTGGATCCCGTCATTTTGGGTTTAGTTTATGCTTGTTTGGCTAGTGTGGGTCATGAAAGCAAGGTTCGTGAGTGGTGCCAATTCTTTTGGTGCTGCCTCATCTTTCTTTTCTGTTATTTTCCTCTTCCTGTTGTCATGCAACAAATTATTGGCGAGGCGCAATTGCTAATTTACTTAAGAGATATGACACGTTTCCTTTTAGTATTCGGTCATATCTCATTTTACTCATGGACACGGGGAGGACCAACAAAGAGACCCTTAGAGAAGAGAGGAGAATAAACCTAGAGAATTAAGCATTTCTTTTCAAAATGATTATTCAGTTCTTCAATTCAGTCAGGCTATCACTTCCTAGATGATCTAATTGTAGAACTACCTCTTTTACCGAGAATCTGCAGGCAAAGCGTATTTTCAACTTTTCTTTGCAATACTAATATGAACCCTATGTGCGTGATTTTTTGCTAACTGCATGCAGGTTATCAATACTTGGTTTTTAAGTTCAATAGAATGATTGTTTCTCCCCTTTGGTGCCATGTCAGGAATACTTCCCTTCACAGTCTATGAATCAAACTGTTAAGCTGGTCAGAGAGAAACTAGATAAGGTGAACAATCAACATTCTTTTGACTTGCAATAATTGGATTTAGATGTGCTTGTTTATTTATTTGACAATTTATTCTGTTCTTCTTTAGATAAAATCCAGTGTGGACCATTTGGAAGGTGAACCATCAAAGAGAAAACGTGTTGATAATAGGAGAAGGATATAAGTCATGTTCGGGTGTTGACAAGAGAATATAGCTCTGAATTACATTTTTTCCCTTTTTTGCCCATTTTGTCATGTTTCGTTTTGTTAAAATCTTTGTATGCTCTCTTTTCCCTTCAGAAACATCAAGTCTGTTCCTGAAAAACCTGCCCTTTTTTGTGCTGACTGGTCAAATCATTACCTTTTCTCAGTTCAAGTTCATGATGTCCAGAATATCGCCTGGCATCAAGAAAAACAAGGTCGTACTTATTTTTGCCCCCAACTCTTTCCAGTTCCCTCTTTGTTTCTTTGGTGTCATTGCCATTACTGTTAATCCAATTCAGTTTTAGAACTTCCCAAGCAAGTGAATAATTGTAACTCAGAGCTTATTATCATATTCCTAGAGTATTTCATTGTTGTGTCTTTAATGGTGACTGCTGATCAAGATTTGGGGGGTGAAATGCATAATGTGTTTTTGTGTGGCTTGCCTATGTTTCATGTGTTTGGTCCTCTATTATTATGTATTCACACTTCCTAAGGGGTAATGCTGTGTGTCTATGACAAAGTTTGATTTGGAAATGATTTTGAAAAATTGAATAGTATAGGGTGACACATTTATGGATTGTGCCTCCGGTTGTTTTGGCATTGGCTAAGAATCCTGTGGTGAAGAAGTACAATTTAACATCGTTGAAGCATATTGGGTTTGGTGCTACACTTTTGGGGAAGGAGTTGATGGAGGAATTCGCTGAGAGCTTTCCTCAGGTGTTGTTGCACAGAGATATGGTATGACAGAAACTTGTGAGATTGTCTCATTGGAGAATCAATATGCAGGCCCCAGACACACAGTATCAGCGGGGTCTGTAGTTCCGGAGTGGAAGCTCTAATAGTTAGTGTTGATAAACTGAAGCCTCTTCCCCCTGGACAATTAGGGGAAACATGGGCGTGTGGTCCCAACATGACGCAAGGCTATTTCAACAATCCACAGGCCACAAGGCAGACTATAGATGAGGACTGGGTTCATACTTCATACTGGAAATCTTGGGTACTTTGACAAGGAAGGAATGCTTTATGTCGTAGACAGGATCAGATAGCTCATCAAGTAAAAAGGTTTTCAGGTCGCACCAGCAGAGCTTGAAGGTCTACTTGTTTCTCATCCTTAAATATTAGATGCTGTTATTCAGTTATTATCCCGTTTCCTGATGCTGAGGGTGGTGAGGTTCCAATTGCATACGCTGTTTGTTCGCTAATAGCTTTCTGACTGCGAAAGATGTTCATAAATTCACTGTATACCAGGTTACACCTTGCAAAAGCTTGCCTCTGGGAATTTCCCATGGGAGAACTAATTGAGAAGGTTCGATCAAAACTGTATAAGATTTGAATAGTTTACTCCTTGAGTGTTAAGTGAGCATCCATTTATCAGAGCAGTTGCATACACTCATCACTGTACTTTTATGAATGGTAACAGAATTGTATCAATGATGTGAACTTCGTGGTGACATGTATAATAAGAGATTCACAATTGGAACTGTTAAATATCATTAGGTGCAATCTAGGTAACACCAAAAGAGACCGAATATTTGCCTTCAGTTGTGAGTTATCAAACGAAACGCTGGGAAAATGTGGCGTGAAATGGTTTGGAAATTAGCGTGGAAAAAAGAGCAGCAAATCCATAATAACAAACCTTCAACCTGGCTGGAAACAAAATGCTAAGTACCTCCCAAGATTATTGATGTAATTCCAATATTTCTTGTAATTCTAAGGGAAATTCAAGTGTTAATTTTTCTCGCTTCTTCAGCTTCCTGTTTCACAGGCAAGTTTATCTGAGGACAAAGTTGCATTAATCATGAAATAAGAAATTCCAAGATCTAGAACTGCAAGATAAATAAAAGACGGACAGCGTCTCTCAGATTCTCAGATGGAGTATAAAAGCAAGAAAGGCTATGCTGATTTCACCTCTACAAAGGGAAAATTTTTGAAACCAAATTATGAAAACACATTTAAATAGGGAGAAGTTTAACGTAACACGTGCTTCGTGCTCCCGGTCCAAGCTAAGGTATTCTCTTCACTAATCTTGTGTAGGGAGATAATGGAGTAAGTCTTTGCATAATCCGCATTCCAGGAGCCCACCCTATGCTCCAGTCGTAGCAGAGCAGCAATATGTTTGTTAATCCTCCTTGTTACGAGCTAGTCTGGCCCGGTGTCTAAGCTCGGCTTTTTTCCACCTTACAATCAGGTAACATAGTGAAAAGAGGGTATTAACCTGCAAAGAAGAAAAGTGCGCAGCAACTTAATGAGTAGAAAACACTAGAAATGACGGAAACAAACAGAAAGGAATGACCAAAAATACTCGCCAAGATTATTATCGCAATAACCAACAGAGGCCCAGACCAAAGTGTGGAAAGAAAAATGCCATGTGAATCGAAGTAATTCTGGCGCGCAAAGCTTTTCCAGTTTGCAGCTAATAAGCCATTAAGCCTTTCAGCACTATACACTCCTCCAACTGCATTATAAGGAAACTAAAGAAGTAAGGCAAAAGGAACATATTCACATACTGCAATTCAAAAGATCAAGCTTCTAACATGCGAGCTAAAAAGATGGCCTCACTTCAGCAATTTCACAACAAAAGTTACAAGCATATAGAACGCAAGTAGCTTTAACGGGCCTCAAAACTTATGCTTTCAATTAAGCCACAACTTTTTTCGTTTTTGGAACTTTTAATTTGAAAACAAACAAATATGTAGTTTTATACACCAAAAAACTAGACAACCAAGAGGAGGAAGTGAATAAATTCCAAGAGTTTAGCTTGTGTTCAAAGAACATAAAATGCAATCACCAAAAAACTGAAGTTCTATGTGACTTTGCAAAAGAGGAACGCTAGCAATCCATGTAGAAGTTCTGACTGATCATTCTGGAACTGTACTATGTCAATGAGCTTTTGAAGTTGTCTACCACAGATTATTCTCACTCTATGGAGCCAAAGCTGTTCTAGTTGTCGCAAATTGGTTATCAGAACAAATCAATTGTTCCAGGAATGGTTGTTTGCATACAATCTATAGGTTACTCGCTGATTACCTGAATTCTTTTCGCAGAGTTCTAATTATACATCCTACAGTAGAGTCACTGTTCTTAACTTCTGGGATCGCAGAGTCCACTAAGAATGCTTTAAGCATTTATTCTGCATGAAGCGGCCATATCATAGAGGGTTTGCCTCGACATGTCTTTTCACTTCATTTCTTCCTTTTTTTCAGTAGTACCATATCTTTTATCCTCTTCCTTACGGTTCAACGAATATGTCTGAAAATAGTATCACTCATCACATTCAAAGATGCAAAACATAAAAGAAACTTTTTGTTAAGAAAGAGAGAACTAAAAAGGAGATAAAGGCAGGTAAAGAAACAGAACTAGGAAAGGGGTAAAAAAACTGAGCTGAAGAACACCGACACTACTAGATTAATTTCAAGGCCTTGAGTGCTAATATACCTAAGCAAGTAAAAAGAAGAAATATCAGAAATCAGGTTACAATAAAAAGAGGAACGCTTACGTGCAAGAAGGAACAAAAACATCTGGAAATTGATGTTCCTCCGAGAGACAAATGATACAAGAAGAAACATGGCATGAAATGAAAGAAGACATATCAACCAAGGTTCCTGCAAAAGGAAAAGGAAAACCAACAATAAGAAAGACAACCAGAAAGCTCGTCCATGTCGAAATGCCAATATCTCATATTTGACAAGGTCAAAAGACATCTTTGTTAGCCTAAGAGACCTAGTTGCTCAAAAATAATTAGTAATGCATATATATTGATAAGGTAATAATTCTCATGAAGAAAATATTGATAAGGTAATAATGAATATATTATCTCATACAAATAGTATTTCAATATGTTTCAAAAAGAATTGTATTTCAATTTCCAACCAAAATTTGAACATATAGCTTTAGTTTCTCTCTACTATTCTCCTTGTATTGCATTAGACAGCTTGCAGCACCAACCACATCTCATGTGACTTCGCTCTCGTTGGGCATCAATTAGAGCTCTTAGATACTCTTGCTCATCTTCAGTTTCATAAGTTGGGGGCCCAAAAAAAAAAAAAGAATATACAAAGTGCGTAAAAGGAAGAAAGTAACTAGACATAAGAAGATTAGCATGAAGAACCATATAGCATAAGAAGAGGGTAAGCGGATTCTAATGTAGAGAAAGGAAGATATAGTGAAACTGGATAGAACATGGCCCTTACTTCTAAAGCATTACAAGTGGTTCGATAGCCTCTGCGGTTTGCCTGTGTGTGCTGGAAGGTTAAAGCATCACTGGTCATTCTAGATACCTATATTCTAACTGAAACTCCAATAAGGAGAAAAGAAATGGCAGCGGATGATGACCTGTGAACATAAGCTAATGGGTGCCAAGAGCAAGTGGATATTTGATGGATACGTTAAAATTTAAAGTGCATTTCTTACAAGACAAATGGAATAAACATAAAAGCTTAAGCTTGAGGATGCTACTAATATTAACACTTCACAGGGACAAGTGCTCAGCAGACTTATCTCTTCACATTGGACAATGCGTGCAAGGGTATAGATAAGATGGTGCAAGGGTATAGATAAGACGAATACAACTGCATGATATTTCGCGTGATTAATACATTTCATAATTGTGCTAAACGAAAGTTACAGTGAAGTTTAGACTCCACAAATACTCCAGCAACTTGCTCCAATCAAAAACAATTTAGTTCCTTCAATTGGATAATTCTACTACTTCATATTTCTGGTCAAATGTTTCTCATCTTGCTTGTTCCTATGCATCAAGCAGCGGGTCTATTTTGGCTAGAACAAAGATCCATTTTCTTTACTGTAATTTCTCTTGACATCAGGCAAGTATAGGTTTTCCTTGTTAAAATTCTCAATTCAAATGAAACGACATTCATTTAGGCTATTTGATTATGCACATTCATCCAAGTGTGGATTTTCCTTGTAAAGCATATGAGAGTTCAAAGTAAAGCACGGTAAATTCTCAGTTAAAATTAACTGACATCCATTTAAGCTATGTGATTCTACGTGCCTAGGTGAAGATCTATCTAAGTTTTGCAGGTTAAAATTTCTGAACCTATTCTATTCAGCTAGACCATCATATTTTCTTGTCTTTCCTCATATCTACTGTTAGTGATAAGTTATCATAAATTAATTTCCACTTCTTGTCTCAATTTCATGCAGTGGAAACCAGCATAATCTAGATAATGAATGGATAAAGGATAACAAGATAAAACAAAAATTCATGAGTTTGTGATGAGCACACTAAGTATCTTTGGCATCACTTCACCGGCAATAATGTGAAAGCCAGCTCGAAGTTATCCGTTAGTTGAAACTTGGTAGTAACAAAGAACAGAAACTACAATATCTTGCTGAGAATATTGAATATTCAATTGCTAATCTTCTCTGTATTGTTCCAATTTCATCATTTGTCCCCGAAGGAACAATAATATTGATTATTAAATAGGAATACACAAAGGAAACTGTTTATATTTTTAAAATTTTTACTCTCTTTTTGGTTAATTAAGAAAGACATATTTTCACAGAAAATAAACAAATAATAAGAGAACCCTAACAAAATCTGATTTTTACGAAGTTGGTAGCATTTGTAGGAGTTGGATAAAAAGGGAAATACCGTCCAGTCAATGGCGTGGAAGAAGCCCATGAAGTTGTCATAGGCGGGTCTAAGACTGGACCTCATCTCTGCACTGAATTTCTCAACGAGATCTGCCATTTGGTCCATATGAGAATTCAAAGCTGATGTTAATTCCTCCATTTTGGCCTCTCAAAAATTTGCCGCTTTTGAGATCAAGAAGGTGCCGCTACTGTCTCTGCAAATCTTGGAGAGTAGCTCTGAGTCTGGGTAGTATTGTTTGATGTATTCTACACTCCTTTAACTCCTCCGTGTGGAGCTTTCTCGACTATTGCTAAAGCACCCCTCTAGTTTCAACAAGTGTCAAATCAGCCCTATGATCTATTTTATTTTGCTTGATTAGACCCAGAAACTAATGAAAATTTGAAATTTATGGGCTCGTACAACGACTTCAAATTAATATATAATACCAACTGAGTTCACATTCAAATGTTATAGACTTACATCGTCTAAGAAAAATCTACTAGGTTAGCCGTAGTTTACATGGTAGATACGCCCATGATTAGAAACTCAATCTTCATAAGTAAATGGTTGAAGTTTCAACTATTACTGCTACAACTAGGTGTGTACATGAGTCAGGTTGGTTTGAATTTTATCAAAACCAAATCAAACCAATTATATCGGTTTGGATTGGTTTGATTAATGTCGGGTTTTTTGGATTTTTTGATTTGTTTGTTATATGAATCTTATTTCGATCATATTTCGTTAAAGTTATTGATGTATTTTTAAGTAACACTTGATAGTTATTTTCTTAATCGTCTAACAATAATTTTTCATTGATATATGCTTTCAAAGTTAACCGAATTTAATAACTAAACACAAAAAATAATACGAAATCTTAATAATGATATGTGTTATTTAATTTTAAAATAACCAATAAAATACCATTTTAAATTCTAAAAAAAATAATATAAGAGTTTAATAAATCTTGACATATGAGTTTATATGGAATAATAAAGAGATTGTTATATTTCAATAACACTTGATAAGATATTAATGATACAAACCATTATTTAAAGTAAATAACAATAGATGCACTTCATAGTCCTATTAAATATCACATCCCATGAGAGAATCACAAATATTTTTAGACATTGTCTAAAGAAAATTATATATTTATATGTCGGCCTGATTCAGATTTTTTTACTCAATACCAAACTTAATATTTTTAATCGATTCGATTTGACTTTTCGGTTTCATGCGATTTTTCGGTTCGATTTGAACAGTCTTAATTACAACAACAAAAAACTTAGTATAATCCCATAAGCATGACTTGTGGAGGAAAGTGTGTACGCATGCCTTATACCTAACTTACAACCCTAATTCCCGACTTCCATATCCTTCTATCAAGTTACAAATGCACATGTTATCAAGTTCCAAATTCCAATTTAGCATTTTCCAACTTTAGCTATGAAGATTTAAATATTAGAAAGCGAATTTTCAACTTTAGCCTTGCGATTCTAAAATCAATTTTAAGATGGTTAAATTTTAAATTTCAGCTCTTCTTTAAATAAGAATCCAAAATATGGGTATTTGTGTACTTGCTTTTAATTGGCGCGAATGGTAATAAAAAAAATTGTCTGCCAACTAAAACAATCCATATATTCTACTATTTCAACTCAAGGCAAGCAGTAAAAGAGTTCCATATTAGGATATGAGCTAAATCCAAAAAGGCGAACCATACCATGGCAACAGCTCTGCTCTCATCTCCTCCTCTTCCATTATCTTCTTCATCCAACCCTTCTATCCTTCCCACCCGTTTAAAGTACTCCACTTTTCCTACTCATTTCTCCATTTTTATATCTCGTATTTGCCTCTAACAAAGAAATTTCCTTTTTTTTTTCAATAGAAACCATAGCAAGATTCTATGGAAGCAAAAGAAATGTGGGAAAATCAGGGCTTGCTCAGAGTTTTGCAAAGAACCCGCTTTGGAATATGGGATTTTAAGAAGGGATTTGGCCTTCATTGCTCTTTCTTCTTCACTCTCTCTAATTTTCCCACTTTCAGGTAACAACAACTGTAAAGTTTGCATTTTTGAGTATCATTTTCTAGTTCCACATCACAATTTTTAATTTGGAGTACTTCAGTGAATTTATTCTTACCTTATCTATGCTGTTGTTTCCGTTTGTAATCATAGTGATAAGACAAAATATCTCATTATCATTTTTTAGTTTGTTGGTGTCTTTGAACTCCTTCCCCACCCAATAATTTAGACCCTTTTTGGTGGACAGAGTAACCCGGTACCTGTACTGGTCGGATGCAGGTACTCGGTGGAGTTAGTCGGGTGCGCACAAGCTCACCATTATCCAAAAAAGAAAAAGTTAGACCCTTTTTGGTGTAAATAGAGTTTGACTCTCCAAATAGTAATAGTGTCCTATAAAATAATAAAGAGGTATAATAATGTGTTTGGTAGTGAAGTGTCAAGGATATTATTTTGAAACGTTAAAAAGTAGTTTGAAATTATATGAAGTAATAGCTAGTTTATATTTGTTTGAATTGCTGGAGGGAGAAAAGTTTCCCATTAAAAGGTAGACAAATACTGTTAGGACTGATGAAATAAGTTCTCTTCATAAAGGGACGGTCTTTAATAGTATTAACTTAAAAATGCATGTTTAGGATGGTTATTTGAATAATCCGTTAAAGGAAAAAGAAATATTATATTAAATTTATTGCCAATGAAGGAAAGTGGTCAAGTAAAATGGGATTGATTAAGCATGAATGCCAAATCTCAAAAAAAATAAAGTTTCACCCTAAATCTTGTTACTGCTGATTAACCTATGTTATATGTATGCTTTTAGTCTTCATTTGGATGGCATGGAGGGAAATGAGGGATAAGTGTAGCATTGGCGTTAGTTTACCTTGTTAGACTACCTTAAAATGAATCAAGATGAAAGGAGACGGAGTGTCAGAGAGGAAGAAACGATATAAATACTACAGCTGATTCTAAATCAATGCTGGGTGTGTGGATGTTATTTGCATGTCCAATGCAAGAAACCGTTACATTCGTATACTGAAAAATACACTAGTCCTCTCCTAGTTGATTGATATTATAATTTATTTCCTTTTTGTGTAAATAAAAGAATAATGAGGCTTATTAACAGCAACACTGCAGCAGTTTTGCCTGCTGGAAAGGGTATCTTGTCTTTATGCTACCTAAAAACTAAGTGAAAATAGTTGCTGGGGGGGATTCCGGGCAGATTCCTTACTGTTTTTCTCAGGTGATATGGATAAAGAATGTTTGTGTAAAAGGGTCAGCATGATTTTATATACGAATATAGTTGAATTTTTCTTCATATACTTAGATTAATGTAGAGAACCATGTTTCAAGAGAAAATATGGTTTTGTATTTTTCTAATCGCTTTTAGGTTTAATGAAGAGAGACTTTTTTTAGATAAGGTAATGGATTTCATATTAGGCATCAAGAAGATGCAAAATTTACAATGCAGGAAAGACAAAAAGACAATGTTAGCTCTATTACAAAAGGCATAGTCTAAAGTTAAGGAGTTAACAAAGTCCAAAAGGTGTCAGGGGAATTAACAGGGGAAAGATTACTCCAGCTACATAAACTTGCTAAACATCTAGCCTTAAGAATGTAATTTGGAGTAGAAATGCCCTCAAAACATCTTGCGTTTCTCTCTGTCCATGTACACCAGAAAATACAAGCTGGGATCATCTTCCAAACTTTCCTGCTGGATTTTCTAATCTTCCATGAACTCCAGCTAGTCAATGCATCTTTTACACTATCAGGCATAACCCATTTGAGACCAAAAGCTGGGATGAACATGTTCCATATGCCTATAACTGCTGCACAATGTAACAAAAGGTGCCTATTGGTTTCAATAGCCTGTTGACACATATAACATCTGTTGACAATGTGAAAGTTTCTCCTAGTGAGGTTGTCCTGGGTGAGGCATGCTTCATATAAGAGAGACTTGTTTGACTTGAGTTCCAATTTGATCTTCTCATACATGGTATTATATGCAGGTTTTAGTGCTGAGGAAGAGTTGAAAATGGGTTCATCTGTCGATGATGTAAATTCCTATTCCTACTTGTATCCTATAGAACTGCCTTCTAAGAAGTTTGTCTTCAAATGGTAAGCAATAGCTTGGTTACTAAATTCTTATCTGCTTTCCATTTGATATGTGTCTTTGGAATTATAAAAAAGGAAAAAAGAAAAAAAAAATATTTAGCCTGCATTGCTGGTTTCTTATGGAGTTGTACAGTAAGAAACAATAGACATGGTAGTTTTAGCCCAAAAGAAGCTTAGACCTTTGAAAATTCTAATGTATTTGATCGTCAAATATAGGTGAAAAAGACAAGTCGCTGAAGTACACATTCAAATCCTTCAGTACATTTGGAAAGTCCTAGGTGCCTTCAGGGACACACTTGACCGAACTCTTAGACATGAATTCAGTTGATCTCATCGTGCAAATGAGCACTTTTAGTTCAGCATTTGCCAAAAGCTCTATCCATTTTGATGTCCAAATCCACTTCTATTCTGTATAATTCATTTTTCCCGTTGACACAGTGTTTGCAGCTCACTTGACAACCATTATAGATTCGTTTATTCTTGTGGATTTATCTAACTTTATGCAAATGAGCTGTCCTTTTAATTTTCACCATATGAGAGAAACTCTCTTTTTTCATGCACTGCATCTTGTAGGAACCTCACTCTTTTCATCTATTTGAAGGGTGGAGACCAGAAAACCAGAGCGTTATTCATCGGCTGCGCCACTATCACGTAAGTTTGTGTAGCTTGTCTCCTGTTTCAAACGAAGGTGACATTTAAAATATGTAATTTATTCGATATTCTGGTTGGATACTAAGGAAGTCACTAAACTAGGTTAAAGTCCAAATTAAGTGGCAGTTTCTCCGAGCACCTAGGCCCTAGCATGGTGCACTTATACATACTTCACGTATCCCATAAAAAGGAAAAAAATTACTTAGAGCCCGTTTGGATATAAGAATTTTTTCACTTTTTTTCGAAATCAGTGTTTGGCCATAAAATTTTCAATTTTCACTTGAAGATGAATTTTGTAATTTTTCGAAAATTAGAAAAACTCCAAAAAGTTATTTTTCAAAATTTTCACTCAGATCACTTACAAAACTTCAAAAACAACCCAATATTATATTCATGTCCAAACACAACTCTAATTTTCAAATACCATTTTCACTTGAAAATTTTTTCACGTTTTTTTGGAATTTTACAAT